TGAATTTATTTAATACACGAGTTTCACAATTTGAGTTGAATTACTGAAATAAATGAACTTTTCCACGACATTCAAATTTATTGAGATGCACCTGTATATTATAACTGGAGCAGTTCCAATATAGGGTTCTTGCAACATCGGTGCTCAGGGCCAAATAAATATAAATTTTCTCTCTCTCTCTCTATATATATATATATATATATATATATGCAACAGTGCTGTTGAATGCAACAGTGCTGTTGAATGTAAGATGTTCACCACAATGGATCAGCACTGAAGACTGTTCAATATAACACACATTAGTGCTGTTGTAGGTTGAGATGCTGAACCAGCAGAGACATGTTTCCTTCTGGCTTGGTGTCTAGCTGACTTCACATCCTCTAGCAGGGCCGGGCTCTGTTTACACCCACAAACCTGTCTACACCGCTGAAAACCAGACAAAAGAAGAACAGGGTTTGTTTATATCACTCAAATCAATCCAGAATTAACATAGACGGTCTGAACAATGCTTGAACAAAGTCAACACATCTGAGACGTTTACAAGACAAAAAAAAAAAAAAGGAAAAGCAGAAACAATGGCCAGACATTGACAATACGTAATGAATTTCATGAAAATACCAATATATTTGCCAGTCCTACTGATGGCTGGTGTGTGATTGTGCATGAGTGAACTACATTATTGACCTTGACGCATTTGCCAGAAGGTACCAGCTGAAAGGGGCACGCTCCTCATCCTCCGGGAGCCCACCATAATGAGAGAAACACTCCAGCGGACTCTATCAAATGACTTGCTAATTTGCAAAAGAACAGCTGAGAACAACATCCTCTGTTAGCGATGGTTTCAGCTGTATTCTCAGACACATCTCACACTTCAGAGGGAATATTTTCATTCTTATACTGTAACAGCAATATTCACTGCATGTATTGAGACCAAACAGATTTGCTAAAAGGGATGATGACATTACTGCGCTGAGTATTGATTGATTGATTGATTGCTAAGAGTGCTCTAGTGGAGACCGTCCTTTTGTGTTTGAGTGAGTCATTCAGAGAGAGATGTGTGTGTGTGTGTGTGTGTGTGTGTCTATTCTTAGACTGTACGCCTCTTAGTACTCTTGTCTGGACCTTTTATATTCAGTAAAAGCCTTAATTCTCCTGCAGCTATATAGCCACTGACCAAAAACAGAGCAAAACGTGCATCAGCGTGGCCAGTGTGCAGAAAAATTTAATTATAATGCACTTTAATATGCCATTAATGTTGCTTTATTAATTCAAAGACAACAGTGAATATCGTAAAAGTTTTAAGCGCATTTTGCTTTCAAATATGTTTTTTTTTTTAATTGCTATATTGGTGTATACCGAAAAAAAAAATCACTTATTCTTGCTTTAACAGTGTGGAAAACATTAATTATTTTTAATTAGATTTTTAATGTATTTTACTAACTGCTTTAAACATTTTGTGATGTCATCGAATCGATGGCCAATGATCAAAAACACAACAAAACTTGAATCATCATGGCCAGTGTGAAGAATAAGTGAATTAACAAAACAAAGTCTGTGGCATATTAAATTGCATTATAATTTTAAAGCAAATTCTGTGCATATTTTTATGTTTTAAAATGTGCTTTGTCACTTTATATTGTTATATTGGAGCATTTAGAAAAAAAAAGATCACATACACTTGGTTGAAATGCATAGAAAACATGTCTTAATTATTTTTTTAAATAGATTTTGAATGCAATTAATTAATTGCTTTACACATTTTGAATCTATCAAAATAATTGAAAAATTTTTGATTTGATAAAGCAACATTAGTGGCATATTAAAATGCATTATAATTTATTGGCTAATTCCACATATATGACAATGGGTTAATTGCACATTTTGGTTGGAAAAATCTTGTTATATAGGAAGATATTAAAATATGATTACATATTCTTGATTTTTAATGTACTTTGGCCAATATGCAGAATAAATT